TATTTGCAGATTTTTTTTGTGTGTGTCTTTTATTTCTTTATTTATTTTTGCGGTGGGGGGGTACAAAAAATATAGATTTTTTTTTCAAGGCATTTCAATGGCTGTCAGTTGTAAATGGATTTTCGCTATTCGTGGGCTGGCCTCATCCACCGCATATATTAAATGTATGCAATTTAGAGTGCTTTTGTGGACCGAGGCATTTTTCCCCGGTTGTAATTTCTTGACCGATTTTATACCTCGACGTCAAGATGGCATACACTGAGCAGAAATTCCTCTTCTCTTTTTCATTCTCTTCCTCCTCATTGTCCTTCTCCAATTTTTTTGTAATCGCTTGTCCACCTACACCGTTTCACGCGGAAGCGTACACATTTGGAAAAATGTCAATCTTACCATTGCCCAAAACTTAAAAAATTAAATCATGCGAGTCTCTTCATAATGCAAATTTTGATATCTTCTTCAAACCATTTCGCTGCCAATCCACGCGGGATACAAATTTCCCTTCACAATATATGCCGTAAACATAATCCGGTTAATCGTGACATCAGGAAACGTGCATTCATTTAAGTTGCAGCACCAACAGGGGGGGGGGGGGGTGTACCGGTGGTCAAAGCGGACAATCATGTTGCTCCATGCTTTGTTTCCGTGGTGGCACTGTGAATCAGTCAGTCTCGATCCTGTTCATCATGTATGAAAGGGGTCAGCTTTGCTTGATTAGCAGTCTATTTTCACAACCCCCTTTGACCCCAAGAGGTTTTAAGGCTCTGGTTGGCTTATCGATGAGAAATCATTGGCAGGATTGACTCCATTAACATGGACGGACCGTGCGTGTGAAGATCAGAGGTGCGAGAGGCAACTCTCATGGCAGTGGAGGGACGGCGGCTGGATTGTGAGATGCAAAGGTGGATCGGATGGTGATTTTCAGGTGCTTCTTTTTGAGACAGGTTGACATTCTTGAGCAGTAAGTGGACAGTCATTTCCCCCCGTGAACTAGCAATAATTATGTCGACTAAAACCAGACACCAATTGGACTGATGAGAAAGTGCACATAAATGGGCAGCCTCTGACATGACAATTTTGCCTGTATTCGGTTTCGTGAATAGTAATGACACCTTCAATCTCTCTTTCTCTCTCTCTCTCTCTCTCTCTCTCTCTCTCTCTCTCTCTCTCTCTCTCTCTCTCTCTCTCTCTCTCAATAACTAAAGGGGTAACCTGGAAGTTCTCGATGAAGCATACATGCACAATTTGCATTCAGTGAGTGAGCGGCCACTGTCTAGTCAGAGCTGCCCGAAGACTCTGAAGACTTATCTGCAAAACCGTGCGCATGGCAAAGCGGCGCAATCAATCATAGTGCTTATGCGGCTTCTTGTATTGAGCTCGGCGACTCCGAGAGTGACAGAGACCGGTGACCTCTTTATCTGCTGCCAGTTTAATGTCACATTTTAAGGAGCCGGCGCCTGCTGAACTTTCACCTTGTTTGCTTGTGTATTTTTCCAAAGGCCAGGAAGCCAAGTGTGCTCAGTCAAATTAAATATCCTCCTCCAGACAGCGGAGCGCTCGACTCCCGACCTCCCTTCCCTTGGCTTTCTGTCTGTATTACTGGCTGATATGTGGAAGCAAAACAATAGTCTCTTCAATTCACTTCTTTTCAGTTTTCGAGGATTTTGTTTGAAATATTTGTGGCACAGTTTTAAATTGTGCGCCTGTTGGCCTGCCAGTCCTGCTTTTAAATGTTGACCACATCACAAAATTACCGATTCTTACTCATTGATGAAAGTGAAATTTAACGCCAGGCTTTAAACATTTCTCACCTGCAAAATGATAGCGGAACATCCAATTTGTTTTTATTTGTATAAATATCTGGAGTTGGAATTGCTCATGTTGGCTTTTAATTGCTGCCACATCCTGATCCGATTTGGGAAATTTACCTGCAGGCCTGCCTACAAAACATGACACTGTACACAAAGTTTTGACTTTAGAGTTGTCATAAACAAATATTTTGTGCACCTATTCGTTTTCATTTGAAATTGCTTGTAAATGTAACAAACGAGTCAAGTTTTGAGTGTCTATCAGCCATTTTTTTTTTTTTTTTTTTTTTGGAATAATTTTACTCCAAGTGAGCATATGTGGGCACTCGGAATTCTCATTGCTGAAGGCTCACAGAGGTTTCTTCATTGTGTAGGCAATTTTGGAGCCACAAACCTTTTGGGATTTTTGCCGGCTCCAATGTCATGCCGGATTCGAGAGTGTGCGAATGCCCTCCTTCGACAGCATTTGCATTTATTTCTCCTCTTCCCTTCTCTTTCCCCTCTGCGGGCTTTTCTTTGGTGTCATGCTGAGGTACACGCAAGTTAACGCAAGCCTTCATGCTATCACACTTCCTTCCGTCTGTCTCTGTCGTGGGAGAATAGTCTCTTCCCTTCTGTTGCACAGCGGCAGGACTTGGTTTTGTCTGTCTCGGTTTATCTGGACCAGACCTTTGTGCTGCACCATTCTGAAGTTGACCTAAACGTTGATAATCAACCTCTGGATTGGATGAGATGGCTCCTATTTTGTAACTGTGAAGCAACCGCAACACGATTCTGGAGCTTTCTCGGCTCAGATCCGATCTAAATGATAGGGGGCTGTTTTGGTATTTACTTTACATCTCGGGAGAGGTTGTTTGTCAAAGGAATGGGGAAATAGAAGGTGGCCATTTTTTTTTCTTGCAGGTTGTTTTTTTCTGTGCACATAAATGGAGGCATACGTATGTGTGCATTTCCTCATCCCCATGCTTCTCTTCCGCGCCGAGCACTGTTGAATCCTGTAAAACTGCCTGACGTTCAAGCACCACAGAGTACCGAATCTAATCAGTGACTCACGCTCCAATATGATTTGCTGCTCTGCTGGCTTGGCCTGTCTTTAAGTGTATTTGTTTTTGTTTGTTTGTTTTTTGGGGTTTTTTTTGGGGAGTACACCCACTAATTTAGTGCGCAAAGTCAAGAGAAAATGTCATTACCTTTTTCATGCTTTTCCTGGTCCTACATACTCAATATCAAACACACTTGCTGGCTTAACGTAATGTAGTATTCCCATGTTTCAATGGCCAGGCCGTAGTGAAACTGTGGTGTGTGTGTGTGTGTGTTATTTAAGTATACACATTTTGTATACAAGCCTCTCGAATTCCCCGATGTGCTACAGGGGAATTCAAACAGACTTACAAAATTAGAATTAAAAAATGCAAAGAACAGATTTACTGTATTTTCCGCACTATAAGGCGCACCTAAAAGCATTCCATTCTCTCAAAAGCCGACAGTGCGCCTTATAATCCGGTGCGCCTTACACAAGGATCAATATTTTAATTTCTTGGGGCGTAGTATTTAAAATGTTCTGTGAAGGGCTTTGTTACAGCTGCAGCGATTGTGAAAGCTCGATATAAATAAAGCTGTATTGTATTGTATTCCCTTTAGCGTTGCTCCACCTCATGGATGCATAACGTCACCGCAGCCAATATTGTAGCTTCTCTTCTATGCGCCTTATAACGCAGTGCGCCCTATAGTTTTAAAATAGGTCATTGTAGGTGCACCTTATACTCCGAAGCGCCTTATTGTGCGGAAAATACGGTACATTTTTCTGCATGCAGTTTCTGCATGCCTCCCCTGCCTGCACTAAATGCACATCCGTGTTTGGTGCGGATCTCATGAAGCACTGAAACTGATCACTTAAAGCTCATTCCTTATTATTCTTTTTTTTTTTCACGAACAAACTATCATGCTAATGATGTGCTTTATGCATATAAACACACCCTACGACCACAGATGGCGGCTCGAGACTGCACGTTTGCTTCACACTGCAGACGGTGGCCAGTTTGTCCTCTGTTGTGCTTCGATTAACATGACCTAGCAGGTGACTGTTCAAATGAAAAACAGAACAACAACAGATTCCGGGAAATTTGCGACGCCCTTCAACATGTCGTATTCTGCTCCACACAAAACCGGTTCTCTGATTAGACCCTTCCAAAAGGCTGTGGCTTCTTTCCGGCAAAAAATTCTTTTGTGCGGCCGTGTTTGCTTTCCATCGCCGCTAATCGCATCCACTCCAGCCTTTTGATTCCATCAGGCGCCGTCGCCTATTTCCATGCCGTGTTTGTGCTCGCGTGCATGTTAACTGCCCGTATGCGCACACACGTGCGCTTGTCAGCTCGAAGATTGCAGCGTTGATTATGTGCCTGATGTTGTCTGCAGAGTGACATCCCTTCTAATGAAATAATGGTTTATAGTGGCAGAGTGCTGGAGCATTGCACATTGCAGACGTCAATTACGCTCACTGTGATTTTCTTTCCATTAAATAAGAAATAAAATGTTTTTTCCCCCCCTGCTTCTTTTGAAAGGACGTGCCCACATTGAACAAAAAAAAATCTGAATAAAAGCGTTTTTTCCCTTTTTTCCCCCCAAGTACACTTCAGGCTAAGTGGGCTTTTTTTTTTTTTAGAAAATGGATAGAAAGGACATTAACGCACCAGCACTTTAGCCGTCCTACCACGAAGCAGCCGCTGCCCTCCTTTTGTGCACCAATCAACGCAACGGTTGGTTGTCTTCCGGGGCAAATGACACATTATTTTTCCTGTTGTAATGTCACCTTCCTATGAGATGCCTTTTACTTGGCTGCATGTATTATTCTCTAGCCTATGTCGTTAGTGTGTGCGTGATGTTTTATCCATTTGTCAATTTAAAGCTCCTTGTGTTCGACTTTCTTTCTTTTTTTTTTTTTTCAAATGTGTGGATTTTTTTAATTTAAAAAAAAGGGTGTACACGATGATACAAATGGCATGTTTTGCATCTTACAAAAAAATGTAACCACCAACAATGACATGATGTGTTAAATACAATGAAAGGCATCATTTCTGGCTTCAGGCGATACACCGAAGCAGCTACGCGACACCATAAAATCGTCTCGTTGGCGGGTTGGTTGCGGGAGCTTTTCAAGTGACATTCTTCGACATTCCCCACTCTCTGTGCTTTCAGGGTGGATCCAATTCCCTATGACACTCCAAAGCCAGCCGGCCACACCAGATTTGTGTGCGTATCAGACACACACTCGCGTACAGACGGCATCCAGATGCCCTACGGCGATGTGCTGCTTCACATGGGGGACTTCACCGAGCTGGGCCTGCCCTCCGAGGTCAAGAAGTTCAACGACTGGCTAGGTACTAAAAACACATTGATTCGTGATATGCATTGTTTGAGCCGTGATTGGCTGCTGTCATGCACATTTTCTTTTTTGGGGTGGGGGGGCGGTGATGGCTTTCGAAATGGGGTAGCGGCACAGGCACGAGACACACTGCAGACATGTAGCAAACATGGACCACACAATGAAGCTGCAGCCCTCTTGCGTGACCTCACAAATGCTGTGCTTAAGTGTCTCGTTTAACCTTTGCGACCTAACGCCCTGGATCAGTTAACATTTGACCTTTCTCTCAGACCACATGCCGCGGGAGGGAGCGTGTGTGTTCCACCGCCCTCCGTGTTCGATGGCGCACGCCAATGTCAATCATTTCTCCGAGGTTTCTTTTTAAATGAACACCAACATTTTTATGTTTTCACCTCACTAGATGGAAGAATGAGCAAGTGCGCTGATGGTTTTTTTTTTTTTTTCAAATGAAATGAAAATTGGTCCGCCGCCCCCACAATTTGCTGCAGAAATCCAAAACACATCTTGAAGGAATTCGATTTAGGATTTAAAAATGTGCATATCCACCACAAAAAAAAAAAAATTGGAATTGAACTGTACATTCGCTAACTTTGCTACTTCAGCATTTTTACACATCAATTGTACTGTCTACTGAAATTATAGGTTTGAAAGACCAGACTGCAAAAAAAGCCGAAGCAGGATTTACAATGTGGATGCAGTTCGCTCAAGCAAATGTTTCATGGAAGTGCTCTATCAATAATTCCATATCCTCATTCCGACAATATAAAAATATCAAAGCATCGTGAACACAAAAAAAACGAAAACAATTCCACTTTTGAAAAATGATGATTACTTTAAGGAAGACAACGGAACACACATCTTCCGTATTGTCTATTGTACTTTTTTTTCCTTCATAAATCTTACACTTTATTAGGGGAAGAATAAAAAAATAAATCTCGTAAGATGTCTTTGGGTAGCAATAAAATGTAGAGCAAATTCCCAGTTGGGTTGAAGATTTCTTCGATGGCGGTTGTGTTTCCCCAACTTTACTCGTGTGGTGGCTGGGGAATGTAGTGAGGAGACGAGATTTTGCTCGTGTGCTTGTGTGTTTCGAAGTGTGTGAGACTTGGAAGGTCGAGATCGCATCTAAGTTTTGGGATGATTTATTTGGATTCTGAGATACGAGAAGGGCTCATTAAGAGCAGCCGGTATTGAACATTCAGCACAGAAAACCAGGATTCTTCAAATTTTTCAAGGAGAGAACTCGTGTGCTGTTCGTGTCAAGACAGCTTCAAAGTGGAATTCATTGGTTCCTAATATTTGGATCGCGTCACGTGACAGAGACGAGTTGATAATCTCTGAATCCTTTTGAAAAGCATTTTGTTCTTATTATTTATATGATTGTTTTCAAAATATTCCGTGGTTGGCAATTTGGCATATTAGTGTCCTTAAACTTCAATAATGACTCAAGTTCCCATTAGCACGAACTTGTTGTCCGGTTTTATTGGACTGCCCTTGTTGCTCTGTTCCGTGGTCCCGCTGCTGCTGGTATGAATTAGAAAATTCTCATTTTCAGATCAAAAAATGTCATTTCAGACAACTTGCCAAAGCTACGTTTTTTTGTTGTTGGTGTTTTGTTTTTTTGTTTGTTTTAATTCGCGCTCTTTTCACCCCAAGATCACCACTCAGAAGTGGTATGCTACTTGTGAACAGTTTTTTACTTCAAAGTGCTTTGTGTTAAAAGGGAATAAAAACTATCCAAACCAAATGTAAAGTTGTTTTTTTTTTTTTTTTTTTGAAAAAGCATTGCTAATAATTTAGCAAATTATGTAGCTCTGTTTTTTTTTTTTTTTTTTTTAATATAAATCACATCCGTAAAATTTGTACACACATGCAGGATAAGCTGAAAAAAAAACATGATGAAGGGTGTCAGGAAAGAAAAAAAAAAGTGTGTGTGGTGAAAAAGAAATGTAGAGAGGGAGAACAAAAGGGTGATAAAGGCCAGACCCTTTGGTTGAGTGCTCAATCGGGTAGAATAAAGTCGTAAGTTAGTTTTGCGCTGCCGAGAGGGAGCGGGGACAAATCACCCAGACAGAGAACCACAAAAAAGGTCACTGGAGACATTGAATGATGAGGGGATGAGAATAGTAATGGATGTTCATCGCTGCGAAGTTCAGGTTCACGTGTTTTCCAGCCGCCGAGTGTCTGCTGAGATGGATCGTGGGCCGCTGTGGTCAAGCCAAACTATCAGATGTGCTCGTAACCTCGATGACTCTGCGCAAGAGTTCACAGGGACACACCGATTATTCACAAGGAAATCACAAGGCCATGCCGACTGGCGATCACCTCAGCTGTCGTTTCTCTTTTCAGTCTGTGCTCGTATGAATAATAAGCACAGGACTATGTCGCCTCGAACTGCTGCCGATATCGGCCCCAGAAACGGCGTGCGTGCGCGCACATGCCAAAAATGCTGGTCATTAACTTCAAGTTTAATGTCATGGATTAAAATGCCATTTGTATTTAATTTGGACAGGTTTTATTTTATTTCTGGTTTTTTTTTTTTTTTTTTGAGGGGCGGTCAGATGTTAAAAAATTGTCCAACTGAGCTCCGTTTTTTTTTTTTTTTAGATCAGACGTTAAAAATGTTTCCTCCTTAGCTCAGTTTTTCTTTTGTACACCTTATTTCAGGGGTGTCGAACTCATTTTTTGTCGCGGGCCACTTCAGAGTTACGGCTTCCATTGGAGGGCCGATGTAAAATCTCAACGTTATTTCTTTCCCAGGACAATTTGACATTCTGGCACAGATTTCAGCAATGATCATGAAAGTTGACACACATGATTTGCTCCTGCGGGCCACATAAAATGATGTGGCGGGCCGGATCTGGCCCCCGGGCCTTGACTTTGACACCTGTGCCTTAATTCAAGAGTACATTGCCGTCGATGAGAATATGCCCGGATGAAATGTTTTACTCTTAAACTGTGTTTAAGATTTGGGGCTGTCGCTCACCAATCTCCCTGTTTGTTCTTGTCCCAGGTGGCCTTCCTTATGAGTTCAAGGTGGTCATCGCCGGGAACCACGAGTTGACCTTTGATAAGGACTTTATGGCTGAGCTGGTCAAGCAGGATTACTACCGTTTCCCCTCAGTCTCCAAACTCAAACCGGAGGACTTTGACAATGTGCAGTCGCTCCTTACAAACTGTGTGTACCTGCAGGACTCGGACGTCACCATAAAGGGATTCCGGATATACGGCACGCCATGGTAAGACCAAAGACTCTAAACCTTTTATTTGGGGCCCGAAGCCCTCCTCGCCGCTTCTTTCTTTCATCTTCGCTGAGTCACATTTACTTCCCGGAGTGTTCTAAATCCCCCAAAGTGGAGGGGTGCCCTCCCTTCTGTCAGCGTTTGGCCGTGTCCCAGCTCCCCTCCCCTGCAGCTCACTTCTGTACACTCTGTCAGGGGCCTCGCTTACATGCACGATGCTATTCCCAGCTCGCGCATTCCTTTATGAGCGCAGGACCTTCGCCCGCACTCGGGGCTTACGTTTACACCTGTGTTTTGACACGGGGTTAAGTGATACGCACGGTCCCGGGACACGCTGTCGATCAGCTCTCATGTGGAAAGAACTTGTGGCGGGCAGGGAGATTGTTGGACGGATCTTGGAGGCGGCATTCGGCAGACGGAGGCGTGTTAACACGAGACGTGTTTGTGAGGGGAAAGTGTTTACCGTCCGCATGGATGAGATCACTGCCACATTGAGGGAGGTATGGCAATATAACGAAAATACAAGCAGAGGCATCGCCCGGCACAAACAAAATGCCATTGTGCTTGTGTTAATCAGCTCATTTCGTTTATTTTTTTTTTTAAAGGGGTAAATCTTTCTTATTCCTTCCGATATCTCCCTTCTACCATATGGCTATAAGTGGCAACTTTGTAAAACACAAAGACGATACGACATCCCCGCAGTGTCAGAATGTTAACATGTAGACATTTTAAAATTTATTTTCAAGGGTGGATCTTAAATTGAATTGATGATGATTAAAAAAAAATAAATCTCATGAATGGAAAGCAGAGGCGCAACTCCACTGAAGTCATTCCATTGCATGACGTGCGGTGCTCTCTGACTTGTTTTCCTGAGTACCAACAAAGACGTTATGGCCAGTCAGAAAGCATTTTTTTTTTTTTTTTTTTTTTTTTGTTTCCCCAAAATTCCCCCCTTTTTTTTG